TGGCTGAATCCAGCACACCTCCTCTTCCTCAGATGCTACCAGATGAGCAGGAGGTGCCAGTGTGGACAATATACCCTGTATCAATTCCAGATGGAAATACAGGCGTTTGCAGACTAGATATTTAATTCTAAGTTTGTTCTGTGATGTAACGTTGTCGCAGATTATATGTGTTTTTATTTAAATCAATAACTGAAATAATCTATGGTCTCTGAGAGCATCTGTATTCCTAGACATGGGGTTTGCCACTGATTAAGGTGGAAGATTTACATGAAAGCCTTGCTAAAACATTGGTATGGCATCTCCGGGCTGTGCACAAGGTCGTGTTCTGTTGCCATCAGGATCAGTTGGGGCGTGGATTTGCTGCGTTTGCATCTCTACTTTAGGCACTTGTGTCATGTGGGTTGAAAACAAGTAACTTGGCATGTCTATTGCACTATTCCGACTCCCTTGCAACTGTGCATTGTTCTTTTCTCATAGAATCATGGAATGGTTTGGGTTGGAAGGGACCTTAAAGACCATCTACTTCCAACCCCCCTACCATGGGCAGGGACACCCTCCACTAGACCAGGTTGCTCAAAGCCTCATCCAGCCTGGCGTTGAAATGTCCAGATAAACTTTTTTGTCCAGATAAACAATTAGTTCCTGTGACCTCTTTTTTAAACCTGACCTTGCTACTAAACAGCTCCTTCAGTTGCAGACACATACGTGTAGCTTGTCCAGGCTCCCGCTCTGCGTGGCAGAACATTCACAATCATGATTAGTTGCTTCCATACATATTAAACACAGGCAGAATCATTGTGCAGCAAGGAAAGAGGAAAATGTGATAAACTCGTTGAACATGTTGCATGAATACCTCTTAGCTGAATTCACAATTTATTATTCTCCTTTACACGGAACGTTTATGATGGGCACCTCACTGTCAGGGTCCCAGTGAGCTTCCCCCTGAAAATCAGAATAATCCTGTTAGTGCTTCTGCTTAAATGAGTGAATAAATATTTCACTTGGTTAGAGTATTATCTATTCTAATGCAATTATTGGCTGAACTTAATCTTACTTTCAATTAGTTTTATAATGCTTATGAATCGTTACCTCATTTTTGCAAGGAAGAAGGATGCATTTCTTCGAGGGAGAGACTAGTGCCAGCATATGAGTCGTCCACTTAACCTGGTCACATAATCTCATTGTTAACTTGGAGAATCCTGCTGTCACTAAAACTTTTATGTGATTGCTGTGAATGTATCATGTCCCACTGTATCTTTTAAAAAGTCATTATATGTAGAAATATACTCTAAATACTTAAATGAAAAACAGGTAGAGTTCTTAATTATATGTCTGTAATATCTAAAATGGCTGAAACATGATTTGGTGTTTTGTTGTTGGTTTTTTTTTTTTCCTTTCTAGCAAACTTCTGAAGAGAAACAAGACTGAAACAGGGCTGCAGGGAGTGACTGGAGAATGGTTTGAAGAAATACAAAGGAAAAAATTTCAGAATTACATTGATGTCAATAGAATGCTAAAACCACCATTAGAGCATCAGCTAAGGAAGAGCAAAATCCCCAGTGAGTTGCATTTTTCCATTTCCTTACCTATATGATAATGGTCACCAAACCAATGTCTTAGAGCATTTCAGAGTGTAATAGCTAAGGAGTTTCTCAAATCGCACTGAGTTTCTTCTCATGTCAAAGTTTTACCAAAGAGATGTTTTCAAAATTACTGTTTCTTGAGGCAGGTTCTGTTAAAAATACAGCTGGGACTCACAAGAGAAAATCCCTGGATATTCTTAACCCTTAGTTAGAATCACAGAACCGCTCAGGTTGGAAGGATATTGGAAGGTCATCTGGTCCAACCTTATGTGGGAAAGGGAGTCTGGATGAGATTACCTACTGCCCTGACCAGTTGCATCTTCTAAACTTCCAGTGATGGGGAGTCCACCACGTCCCTGGGGAGGTTGTTCCAGTGATTGATCATCCTCACTGTAAAAAAATTCTTTCTAATCACAATGAACTTGCTGCAATTATAGTAAATACAGTGGTGGCTTCCCAGTCAAAGCAGTAATGTTTACTTTGTACAAAAACCGTTTCAGTTTTACTTACTTTTCCTAAAGAAACTAGAAGCACCTTAGAATCATAGAATCATAGAACAGTTTGGGTTGGAAGGGACCTTAAAGATCATCTAGTTCCAACCCCCCTGCCATGGGATGACAACCTTGATGACATTTGGGGTAAGCAGGTAGTCTAGGTTTGGGGGAGAGAGGTTTGACTGTACCAGTGGGAAACTTTTCCTGGTAACTGTGGGGTAAAGGCATGACAGTGCTGATTATCAGGGAAGGTGACAAAGTTTGGAAATTCGGGCTGACCAGGAAGCAACTTCTGGAGATCTCATTTCACAAGTTCTGTTTCCCATCCACAATGAACTTGCATAAGAAACATGGAGTCTCTGTACCAAGCATGGCATTCTGTACTGTCTTTTTCATCTTCTATACAAATGATTTTCATGCATAATATATGCTTTTATTCCATTTACATCTCTGCATGTTTTTCACTGACCTCTTCCTATTTGTGCTTCATAGCAACTGGAAGCAGAATGATGTATTTCAAAAGAAAAGTGAAATCCTAAAAAATATTCCTGAAACCACGGACCTACGCAGAACAGATCTGTCTTTCCTGACCGTTTTTCCCCAACGTCTCCTCTTGTCCACAGCTATCTGCTGTTTTTCTTGCAGACACAGTCTAATTGATGCATTAGCTCACTAAACTCTGTGTCATTGCTCTCTCCTATTTACCTTTGAAAGCTGCTGTTTCTATTTCTGATCTGAAGAAAGGGTTGTGTGCCACAGAGGCTTGTCTGGTATTTCCAACTGTGTAAGTTGGTTTAACAAACGGTACTACTTCTACCCGCAAGCCCTGGTCTGTCTGCATCCCTAGACCGTCCTGGCTATGGCAGAGAGCTGTTAGGACTGTCTTGATGTCACCCTCATTGTCAGGTCATTGGATAAGCCATTTTCAGACTGTTGTACTGATTCAGGCATGTGATGTTTTAAATTTAAAAAAAACAATGCAGTGCCTTATTCCTGAGTGTAGTCTTGTTTCTTTATGTCCTCTGGTTTCCTGTGGCATGTTTTAATAGAGACCTTGCAGTTT